TCATGCTGCCCATCCTTGTGGCTTGGCTGGGTCTCTGTGACATGTCTCCACATTGTCTGGGGTCCTGCCTAACCCATTTGATTTTTCACAGCCATTTGATTTCTGCCTGCCTGCAGATGTTGCTGTCATTTTGCACCTTCTCTGTCCCCTTTCCACATCCAGGAGGTGGAAGCTGTGTGTGCACTGCTTGCCTTCCACTATGAAGGAGATGGTAGTCCTAAACGTGCTCTGTCTCCTGGTCAGCCAATTTCTGATGTGCGACACATCACCCTTTGTCCCCCAGCACTGTAGCCATTACTGTGCAGTCTGGTTTACAGTGTAGTTTCCTCACATCGCCTTAGTCTCCTTTATCTATACTGGCAGATTCAGGGGAAAGAGATCAGCTTCAAACACATAGAAAGAGGGCAAGAAAAAAAAAAAGAGAGACACTTGCTGTGATCTCTCTCCATGAAAAGGCAGCAGAGTGGGATCACTGCTTTATACTATGTAATCAAGCTGTGGAACTTTGCTGCAGGATACTCTAGATGCTGAAAATTTGCATGGGTTCAAAAAGCAACTATACCAATCAACGGAAGATAAATCTTCTAATACCTATTAGAAAATGGCATCACCTTCATCTTTGGAAGCCTACAAGGTACATGTCCTGAGCAGCTGGGAAAGTATTCTGGGGAGACACCATAGCCAGCTTGCCATTTGTGAACACATCTCCAGCCATTTACCTCTGTCTCTTATCAGAGACAGACTCAGTACATCCTTTTTCATGCTCCTGACAGAGAGCAAGTGACTCCCTAAACAGGAGGCAGATGTGGTAGTGCTACAATGGCAAGGAAGGGGAGCACGGAAAAGATCACAGGGCAGAGCAAACCAGACCAACACCAGAGGAGGTATCAGTACCTGCATTGCTGAAGACCCACGTGGAGATGTTGGCTCCTGTGCTCATGAGGTATTCCACATCCAGACTGGCCTCCAGCCCAGCCTTGCCCCAGCCCTGGTGCCCAACCACCTGGTCAACTTGAGAGCGATGGCCAAAGCTGCTGCCAAAGAGCTGCATAAACTCAGCCACGTCCGCCTGGTGGAAATACTGCTCCAGAAACTGGGGGGACAAGGAGCAGACAGTGAGAATTTGTTCTCCTGACTTGGAAAGCTGGCCCAGTGTGGGTCTGTGAATTGCTGGCTGACCCTGCACTCCCATCAGCTGCTGAGGACTCTGCCCACAGCTGTCCCAGAGCAAAAGTGCTGGAGAAGCACCAATGTGCAGAATTCCCATGGCCTATGAGCCTTGGGCCTGGATCAGAGCTGTAACCAGTTACCTGGGCACAGGCCTGGCTGTTGTTTGGCAGTAACCCAATGTCTCCTCCCGTCATGTTGTATCTTTTACGAATGATGAAGGGTGTCACGCCCAGATGGAAAGCCACTCTTCCTCCTCTGTGGTGCTGCCTTGACTCCTTGTCCTTCTTGGTCCAGGCTCTGCTGATCACCTTCCTCTCTGCAGGGAACCGGTGCAGACCTCCCACTGGCATGGAAGCAAACAGGACAAGAAGCAGGCATTAGGGCCCAAAGCTTTGGCCAGGTAGTATTATAGCCCCTCTGCTTCCCCTTCACCATCCTCACTGGGCCTTCACACTAAAGAGAGTTGGCCTGCAGCAGGGCTTGGGTGAGCGCATCTCCTGCAGCAACTCACCCAGAACTGGGCAGAAGGCAGGGGGCTGCTTCCTTTGGGTTCCTCAACAATCCTCATAGGCGTTGCCTGGCTACACATCTCAATCTCCCCACTGCTAGGCCATTATCACCAGTTTGACACCCTTCGCTCTCCTTGTGGAATGGCCATGGGACCCCAGGTTTCCTCACATGTGGGAGTTTTCCCATCTCAGAAGCAGCTGCACGTCCACAGAAACTTTGTTCAGGCTGTACCTAGATTCTCACCTGATCATCCAGGCCTGAGAGCACCAGTAAGAAACACTTACTGTGGACACTGTCTAAATCCTATGCAGAGACAAAGCTCCTCAGATGGGTGTAGACACAGCCAGTACCATGGCTGGAGAGTCTGCAGTCCTGCCACACCTTCCTCTGGGGCACTGAGACAGGCCAGTCCCAGCTGGTCAGTCTTAACCTCCCACCCGCACCCAAGGCTGACAGCTCGCTTGTTCTGGACAGCCCTGTCATACCAAAGTCAATGTGCTCAGCCAGCTCCTTGGGGATAGTGTAGGGGAGCGGGGAGCGCACAACGCTGCGTCGGCCTTTCACGTAGCGGTGGAACTCGGCCCCTGGTAGGAGTTGCTCAGCCGTGCTGCAACACAGTGTGGGGCATCTGGGATGTCAGGGCTGTGGGCGCAGAGTCTGCGCAGGCATGTCCAAGCCTGGCTGCTGTGCCAGCAACATGCCCATGCTCTGTACTGCCTTCCACACCCTTTTTACTCCTGTTTGCTGCTGGGAGGATTCAGGGATGAGCTCCCACCAGCACAGAAGACCTTGTAAAGCAAAGAGCATCTTCAACACTCGACCAATTCCCATCAGGGCTGGACTCCACAAAATTGAATCAGAGCACTAGTGCTGCAGGGTCACCTGCAACCCTCTCCCCAGTGCCCCAGCAGGCACTGAGTGGCTCCAAAAGAGGAAAGAGGAGGTGTTTACCTGGGCCAAGCACCTAACGCATACAGATAGCTTGTGTTCAGCACTCAAGAGCACCAGGCTGCAGCTCCCCCAGCAACTAGGACCAGGGACATGTGAAGCTAGCTCCTCATGGCAATGGCACGGCTGCCACAGCAGGGCCCAGCATGCTCACCTCACAGGCATGCGGCACTCCAGGAAATCAAGGGTGCTAACGCTCCTGCAGCTCCCCACGCCATGGCCCTGCAGCCACTTCAGCACAGACATGAGTGTGGCTGGGGATGGCTGGATGAGGTCCCGCACCTGCTCCAGGGACAAGTACCTGCCTGTGGGGCACAAAGAGGGCCATGAGTGCCCTGTGCACGAAGCCACTTCAGCACAGACATGAGTGTGGCTGGGGATGGCTGGATGAGGTCCCGCACCTGCTCCAGGGACAAGTACCTGCCTGTGGGGCACAAAGAGGGCCATGAGTGCCCTGTGCACGAGGCCTGGCGGGATGGCAGAGTGCAGGTGCGTAGCCAGTACCATAGCCTGGGGGG